GTAAAACTGAAACAACCCACGGTGATAGGCCTTTTAGTGGGTTCTAGTAGCAATGAAACCCACGGTAGTAGCCTTGGGAAATACAGTAAAGCTGATACAACCCACGGTGATACGCCTTAAAGAGGGTTAAAGTAGCAATAAAACCCACGGTTATGGCCTTGGGGAATACAATAAAACTGTCACAACCCACGCTGATATGTCTTTCAGAGGGTTCTAGTAGCAATTAAACCCAAGTTGATAGCCTTGGAGAATACACTTTTAATAAAAATGTCACAACCCAAAGTGATAGGCCTGTTAGAGAGTTGTTGTAGCAATAAAACCCACGGAGGTAGCCTCAAGGAATGCAGTAAAACTGTCACAACCCACAGTGATAGGCCTTTTAGAGTGTTCTAGAAGCAATAAAACCCACGGAGGTAGCCTCAAGGAATGCAGTAAAACTGTCACAACCCACGGTGATAGCCCTTTTAGAGGGTTCTAGTAGCAATAAAACCCAAAGTGATAGCCTTGGGGAATGCACTTAAATGTTACAACCCACAGTGAAAGGCCTTTTAGAGGGTTGTAGTAGCAATAAAACCCACGGTGATAGTCTCGAGAAATACAGTAAAACTGTCACAACCCTCAGTGATAGGCCTTTTAGAGGGTTCTAGTATCAATAAAAACTCACGGTGATTGCCTTGGGAAATACAGTAAAGCTGACACAACGCACTGTGATAGGCCTTTTAGAGGATTCTAGTAGTAATTAAATCCACGGTGATAGCTTTGGGGAATACAGTTAAACTGTCATAACCCACGGTGATATGGCTTTTAGAGGGTTCTTGTAGCAATAAAATCCACGGTGATAGCCTTTGGGAATACAGTAAAACTGTCACAACCCACGGTGATAAGCCTTTTAGAGGGTTTTGTTAGCAATAAAACCCACGGTGATAGCCTTTGGGAATAATGTAAAGCTGATAGAACCCACGGTGATAGGCGTTTTAGTGGGTTCTATGAGCACTAAAGCTTACGGTGATAGCCTTGGGGAATACTGTTAAACTGTCACAACCTACGATGATAGGTTTTTTTAGACTGTATTTCCTGAGGACTGAACCGGACATTTCCGTTTAGAACTTCATTTACTAAAAAGGCCTATCACCGTGGGTTTGACTGTATTCCGTGAGGCTAGAACCGGTCTTCATTTTCCTTTGAGAACTTCTAAAATAGCCTTTGACCATGGGTTTGATTACCTTGACTTTATTCCATGAGGCTAGAATCTGACTTGGTTTAGAGCTATAAAAAAAGGCAAAACACCGTGGGTTTGAACAGTTAAACTGTTTCCTGAAGGTAGAAGCCGACTTGGTTTTGCGTTTAGAACTTTTAAAAATAAAGGTCTATCACCTTGGGTTTGGTGATTTTGACTGTATTCCCTAAGGCTAGAACAAGACTTTGTTTTTCGTTTAGAACTATAAGAAAGGCCTATTACTGTGGCTTTGATCAACTTGACTGTATTCCCTGAGCCTAGAACCAAAACTTGGTTTTCCGTTAAGAGCTATAAGTAAGGCCTATCATCGTCGGTTTCGTCAGCTTGATTGTTGTCCAAAAGGATAGATCCGGACTTGGTTTTCCGTTTAAAACAACTAAAAGGCCTATCACCGTGTGTTTGGTCAGCTAGACTGTATCCCTTTAGGTAGAAACCTGACTTAGTTTTCCGTCTAGATCTATTGGGCAGCATGACTTGGCTAAATCCGGACTTGTTTTTCTGTTTAGATTTATAAGAAAGGCATAAAACCGTGAGTTTGGTTAGCTTGACTGTATTTCCTGAAGCTATAACAGTTCTTGGTTTTCCGTTAAGTACTACATGTACTAAAACAGCCTTTCACCTTGGGTTATGTCAGCTTGACTGTATTCCCTGAGGCCTGAACCGGACTTGATTTTCAGTAAAGAACTACGAAAAAGGCCTATTACCGTTGGTTTGGTTAGCCTGACTTCGTTTTCCCTTTAGAACTATTAAAAAGACATTTCACAATGTGTTTGGACAGCTTGACTGTATTTCTTGATGCAAGAAATGGACTTTGTTTTCGTTTAGACCTATAAGAAAGGCCTAACCCGGTGGGTTTTGTCAGCTTGACTATTCCCTGAGGCTAGAAGCGGACTTGGTTTTCCGTTAAGAACTATAAGAAAGGCCTATTACCGTGGAATTGGTCAGCTTGACTATAGTCCCTGAGGCTACAAAGGGAATAAGTTTTCCGTTTAGAACTATTAAAAAGGCCTATCACCGTGGGTCTAGTTAGCTTGACTCTATATATTCCCTGAGGCTAGAACCAGACATGGTTATCCGTTTAGAATTACTAAAAAAACTCCTTTCAACGTGGGTTTGGTCAGTTTGACTATTCGCTGAGGCTAGAATCAGAGTTGGTTTTCAGTTTAGAACTATTCTCAAAAGGCCTATCATCGTGGGTTTGGTCAGCTTGAGTGTATTTCCTGAGGCCTGAACCGGACTTGGTTTTCCGTTTAGTACTACTAAGAAGGGCGATCACCTTGGGTTTGTTCAGGTTGGCTGTATTCTCTGAGGCTAGATCCGGATTTGGTTTTCCGTTTAGAACCATAATAAAGGCCTATCACCATGGATTTTGTCAGCTTGACTATATTCCATGAGGCTAGAACCGGACTTGGTTTTCCATATAGAACTACTGAAAATGCCTGTATATATTATTTATCCGTTTTATAGATCTCCACTATAAAAATGGTTTCAACAGTACATGTATTTATCCGTTATTGTCAGACTATTCTCCCCCTTACCAGTTCCTCACCTGACCTTTCCTTCCTGATTGTTCTCCCCCCTTTATTTATCCTATGGTATAATATGAATGCCCCAAAAAAGCCTACAAATGGTATAACAGAAATAGACAAGGGAAAAGCGTTAATTGTGAAAATTTATTCTTCACTACTATATGCAACTTGGAAAAAATATCACAGATAAGATAAATTAATGTTTAACAAATAGGAACATACAATGTAATTTATTAATACTTAATATATAAATATTTTCATCTTCTTATACTCTAAAAATACTTTAACATGACCTAAGATTTTGAATAACATTTAAAAGCAGCATGCCTTCAGATTCATGCTAATTTTTTATGAAAATTTGAAAAATTATTGAAATGTCAAATACTGTGAAGTGAACAAAGAAAGTAATTGACACATTGCAAATGCCGCTTACAAGCCACATAAATTACCAAAAAGAGGTCGCAGTTATGGCTGTTTTTGAATATTTTAACAAACTGCGTAAGCCATGCAGTAAAAATATGGTGAACATTAATCGCACATAATATATAAGTCATTACTAAATCCTTTTACTTTTCTTATAATCTCAGTACATTTTTCTCAATTTTGATTTTCTTGAAATATTTCGGCTCATCTGAAGGCATGCCATTTTAATGCAAACATGATATGTAAATTTAAATGACGGATGCCTCAAGCTGAGTCTAGTGTAGTTCATTTGTGAAGTCTGTTCTGATATTTTCAACAAAATAATGTCATTCTTAGTATGAGACGTCACTTGTATCTAATATAACCATATCTATGATCACAAAATAGAAAATTGACTTATAACCAACGTTCCCCATCATAAATATAGTCAGTAAAAAAGAAACTTAACACAGTATTGTTATAGTATTACAGCAAACTCCGCTTATAACGATATTCAGTAGTTATATCAGAGAGGCAACCAAATTGAAAACACCAGTTGGGACTGCTGCAACAACATCCTGATAAGTGTTATATCGCAATAGCCAATATCGCTATAATCAGAGTTTACTGTACTATTATCATTGTGTTTTCTTTCTCCATAAAAACCAAACACTGGTATTTGATAAAAAAAAACCTCGTAGATATTTCGCACTTTGAGCTTTCAGATTAAAACAAGAAAGTTAACTGGAAATGTAAAATCAAATGAAGAAAAAAACTTAAGGTTTATTTATTTTCTTCAACTGCTGAAACATCTCAAAATCAACTAATTTTTTTTCAATTAGGTAAAATGTATACGTTATTGGTTATAAAGATTTCTTACAGGTTACATGGCCTTATAAAATCAGTGTCTTTGAAGTAAAATCCTGTTTGCATATATTACCAAAGTCACACAAACAAATTTATTATAGAGCTAACTTCTTTTATCAGACAAAAAGCCATGTTAATCATTTATATAAGCGTCATGATTATCAAATGAAAAGCAATGTTACAAACATGCATTATCATGAAGCTATAATTAGGATGTCTCTGGCCCAAGCCTGTCCCAAGATATTGAAAAAAGAAGTTTTATTTTGTTTGTTTGTTTGCTTTGGGTTTTACGTCACATCGACACAGTATAGGTGGAGGAAGACCTCAGGTGCCCTTCCGTGCATTATTTCAGGCTGAGTAGAACCACCGACGTTCCGTAAGCTAGCTGGAAAGCTTCCTCACATGAAAGAATCCAAAGTCCCTGTCGGGATTTGAACTCACAGCGGTGAGGGGCAAGTGGTTTGAAGTCAACGACCTTAACCACTCGGCCATGGACACCCCAACATCTTTACCAGAAGTTTTATTAATTGGCTTTATTTTGCCTACAGTAATAAGCCTGGTATACATGTATATATGCACATCACAGTCATCTGATGATAATCTTTCAAACCTTGCTTATTATAATACTGTTTGCATTTTTACATTGCAATCCCGTTTTTATTTTTTTTACAAAAGTACTGTTATAAAGTCATAGCAAAGCAGGCGATTAGACATGTTATAAATATATGATATGTGAATTATATGTGAATCAGACATGACATGTTATAAATATATCATATGTGAATTATATGTGAATCAATTAAATGTATCTGACAAAAGCAACACATGTAAAAGAATTAATGAACTGTAGTAAAATGCTGAAAAATTCATATTTTTATTAAAAATTATCAATGCATCACTAGTATTTCAATTAAGAAAACTTTTTGATTCCACTATCAAAACCTGAAATGTATTAAACACTTTACCTTGACTAATGACTGACCACTTTATAATAAACCATAAATTTTGCTGTCCCATAGATGAAACATTGAGTTGATCACAATGATTACACATGACTGATTATTCTCCAATGCATTTTAAATCCTCATATGTGCTAAGCAAGTTATCTTATTCCATATGTGTATTATAAGGATATAGTGTATCATTATGTAAATTACAAAAACAATGTTTTTGTTCTGTTCTATTATAAAGATCACTTGGTAATACAGTCAAACCTGTGAACAAAGGTCATCCAAACGAGGGACCAATCATAGCCTTCATAGGCAAATGATCATTATTTTAGAGGTTGCTCTGTTCTATTCAATTAAAAAAGGTTTGTTGAAGAGTGGTCTTTATTTACAAGATGGTCTTTAATTTAGAGGTAGTCTTTCACACTGGTTTAACTATAAAGACAAGTTGTTAATTGGTAATAAATAATTATTGATAATTCAGTACAATAATCATCATATAACAGTATTAATTTTGTAATATATAGCATTCTTCAAGAAATGATTTTTTATACATTAAAGGAACTCAACTGAAGTCTAAAAACCTACAAACATAACTTTAAATTTTTACATAGATCAGCTATGGCATTTAAAAGAGAAAGACATGCAAAAAATAATTAAGAAAAACTGAAAATCGTACTTTTGAGCCATGCTTTTCAAGTTTTATGTCATTTTTCGCAAATAGAATAACCATTTTGGAAAAACGGGGTTAGCAAATAATTTGAAACTTTGGACACAAGAAATTGGTCTATACAATCATCAAATGGAATAATAATCTCAAAAAAATATTTTCCATCCTGTCATGTTAAGAAACCTCAGTGGAGTCCCTTTAAAAAGAATAGCCTAAATGTTAATGATTGTGTTAAAACTTTAAATGCATGTACATGTATTTGATATTTATTTTCAGTATGTAAGTCTAACATGTGGTGTTATCTCTATTTCAAGGTGAATGAAAGCACTATAAGAAACCCTATTTTATTCTTCTTGTCAAATTAACATGAGTGGTCCTCTATATCAGAAAAGTTGACCTCTTATCGAGGACTCATGGGTCAGCCTGGGACTCCGATCTACTTCGTTTATGTAGTGAGTGAATAATTAACCTTTGTACAGGAATATATCTCCCAGTCTGAAATAGAAAAATAACCAACATTATTTTAAGTAATTAAAAACACATGTTTTTATATCTTGCACTAATTGATAATAAAAACATACATAGACAAATAATTAATGAAATCGCTTTCAAAATAGATAAAATGTCAATCAATTTTATCAAATTCCTAAAGTTTACATCATTTTTGACAAAGACACTATCTATGGTACATGTATATACTTTTTTGTGTCAACAAACTGGATAGTATTTCAGAAAATGGTGAAAAAAATTATCTTCCATAAATCAACATACTTTAACATTGAGCACAGAGGTAAGCTCCCTTAGTTTGAAAAATTTCCCTTGATCAGAAGGTGTATACATCAGTCGCTTCCCTTTGTATGTGCCGTCTGTATCTCCAACTAAAACACAAAACATTATATATTATTTCATGACTATAATCAATGTTAATACAAGTATACAATCTCTTTGTTTCGCAAGACATTTTCAACATTCTTCACTGATTTCATTTAAAGGCCAATTATGCCTCAGAAATGCTTTCATTTTTATTTCTCAAAAGCTTTTTAATTAATTTTGGTGTTCTTTCATAGTATCCAACAGGTTTCTTATTGGCCAATAACTGGAATCCTTTGCTTTTTGGCAATAACTACAAGCAGTTATAATGAATAAATATTTTGCATGGAAATCAAAACACTACTTTATTTACATAATTTGCTACTTTTATGAAAATTATTTCACATTCATCGCTTCTTTCTTCAGGTAACAAGCATCTAACATTCTTGAAAACCATAAGGCATAATGTTTGTTTGATTGGGTTTTACATCACACTGACACAGTATATGTCTTATGGCAATGTTCCAGCTTTACTGGTGGAGGAAGACCTCAGGTGTCCTTCCATGCATTATTTAAGGCACGAAAAGGCACCTGAGTAGAACCACCGACGTTCTGTAATAAGGCATAATGTGCCTTTAAATAGTTTTGTCTCTCACAGCCTTAATCCCTGATGACACACTCGGAAATAGTCATATGTACTGTACTCATGCAACTTCCAATAAGCATCTGTTTCCAGTACATGAAATATATTGGATTGTCATGGTCCAAATGGATTTAAATAATTGGAATAAATAAGTATACATGTATTAAAATTACTGAATAATGGCAATAAACACATACAGACAATGGTAAATTTTGACAAATTTATGGATTTAATGGATGGTTTATTAAGATAAAATAACATACCAGGTTCATCCATCCGCACGCCAACATGTATGCGAGCATCATATTTTTCTGGGTTTAATTTACCCTTGAATTTAACAATGCCTGTATAGTTAATAGGTTTTGGTGCTGCAATATAAATATATGATATAATCAATCTAAATTAAGGAGAAAAAACATTTAAAGATATACTATGCTCAAATTTGAGATTAGCAAATATTGATAATTGCTACACAGCCTCATTGTATGTATAAAATAAACATAATTTGACTTTATTTAAAGTAGATTCGTTATGTTTATAACCCTACACACTAAAGTGGTCACAATATGAATATATAGTGTCATTAAAAAGCTGGCAGTTTTTTTAAGAAAGAATAAACTTTACTTGACCCATAATATGGAATGCAGCTTCCTGTACATAATGTATTCATTCTTTTATTCAAATAAGACATATCGCCCATTCTCAATAAAATAAAGCATTTGAGGTTGGAAAATATTAAAAATTTGATGTTGTCATTGTGTCATTTTTTATCGCTGAAGTAAAAGTATAGGGTATTTTGCAAGTTTGCCAGAAATATTTTCAACAAGAAACTATAATATAACAGGATGGCATTTATTTCGGTAATGACACTGTATTTCCTTGGTAACGTAGATTTCAGATCTAATAATGTAACATATTGGCTGCATATAAATAACAAATGTCTGTAAAATATATCAAAATCTGTAAATTCTCTATCTAGAGGGACTTTCTAACCCAGGAAAATTCAAGGAAGTTAGGTACCTTGCTAATTTTCAGTTAATTTCTTTAAAGTTAAATATTCGTAGAAAGCAAAAAGAGTCAATTTTGGAAATGATTATTTTATGTCTTCATTCAAAGGATATATATCATTATATAATATATGAGAGGTTGAATGCATACACAAATGTTGTATTTAGAACATTTTTTCAAAACATTCAAATTTCCACTTTCTTCATATTTGGAAAATTTATTGCTAAGCAGTTCTATATTTATCCCCATACAACATGTCACGTATGTTTCATTTTATTCAAATACAAGTAAAGGTCACAAAAACAATTTTATTTTTTGTAAAATAATTTATATTTTTGGATATGATTTTAACCTTATTATACATAGAATGAAATACGGCCAGTAAGCTCTTTGCATCAATGAATTAGTTGTTGTTGAGAACTTCAAGCTTTAACATTCCTGCTGGTACATCAACATATTATGTAAATATCTTTCCTTTGCAAAAACACTTTTGTATCTTTTTACATTTAATACAAGGTTACCGTTACAAACAGGCATGCTTATCCCAACTTTACCTTTAATTTTCAAAAATTGTGGAATTTTAAGTTGGAGTAACGTATGTTTCACACTGGCTCATTTATGAACTTTATCACAGAATTGAAACTTACATGTAAAATTGACTTTTTTATTTAGGAATCAAATGTACATCATTCTATTGTCATATAAATGCGATTTTATGTTTTTATATTTGCATGTGAAAACAATATAAAATCTGTTTGATAAAAGTAACGTTTGTTTCACTGTGGTTATTTAAACAAGTTAAAACTCGACCAAAGTTAATAAAATTTACTTACTTATGTAAAATTGAAGTTAATGTTACTATTATATGTGCTTTCTGACTTCAATTTCCCTTTTGATAAAATTACTTTAAAAAGTTGGTAACGTATGTTTCATTTTTACATTGAAAGTGAGTTGAAAAATGACGCAAGAGCGTATAACATATATATCGGAGTTACACATATGTTAATTTTATTTCTTGTTTGGAGTCTTCCTTGAACGGATCAGCTCTTAAACAATGGTAACGTATGTTTCTTTTTAAAATGCTGTTGAAAAGATTTGAATAAAAAATGAAAATTTCCAAAAACAGAATGATATTTGAGAGGCTGCAAGCTTATTTTTGCTTATAATTATATAGTTGCTGTATTATTAAGCATGCATCGGTTCAATTATGTAATTTCTGTTTCGCTTCTAATTGTTTAAGGTTTAATGTCACTATTTATTTGTATGCATTTGGCGACATTTGATTGTCCATTATATCAATGAGGTTTTTAAGAGTCAAATATATTTTTTACTAATAATCAAAGTGCATATACACACAGCAATGACTAATTGCACATGTTTCGTTTATTCTGGAACTTATTTTACTGAAACACAATTTCAAAGTTGAAAATTCTAGGTGGCGACAGTAACGTATGTTACATTTTAGGGCATTAATGGTACTTGTAAACGAAAAATTCCAGATAAAAATGTAAAACTGAGAGGGTACCTATTAGACAAAGTGGCAGCCACCTTTCTAACGACATTTTGACCTCAAGAAAAATCTTCTTACAAGAGCTATCCAGTGGAACATCAAATGCTGTGTTTTATTGAGAATGAGCGATATTCAGTAAGAATTTCATGGATTTCAATAGTTTTCTGTGTTTAAAAAAATTTTACTCATGGATGAGCATACATGTAGTAGTCATATATAAATTATTTTTAAACTTAATAGCGGAAATAATATAATTATGAATTTATTGAATAAAATCACTGTTTTTTAAACATATTCCCTTCATATTTCAAATAGATATTTGGAAACAAACTACCTTTTCTTTTGCTATATCTGGGAGGTTTCTGTGGAACACTAATAAGGACTCTATCACCAACATTTATAATATCCGCAAGAGCTTGATCTTTTTCACGGGAACTGAAACCTTTAAGTTCATACTCCTGTTCCGATGTCATTTCCTCTTCGAAATCCGACTCGGAAGAAAACACTGAGTCTGCATCACTAGGCAATGGTCCTTTCTCGTGACACGATTTATCACGAGGAGATATGCAGTCTCTTTCGCTATCTTTTTCCGTTCCTATACTATAGTCTAATGAGGGTTTAAGTTTTGTATTCCCTTGTTTTTCTGACTTATAAGTTGTACTGCTTCTAGGTGTTTGAATTAACTCCACCTCGAAACTTTGCGTTTTTCTTGGAAGCGGTTTTGTGTAAACTTTATGGGCCTCTTTGTAGGAAGTGGTTCTGTGAACTTGAGAAGCGTTTCTCTTCACAGGTTGAGGCATAGCTGAAACTGGCCTTTTTCTTTTATCTGGCATCTCTATAGTCTGGTTTAGAAATCTTTTGTTGCTACATGAATGAGATCTGTTACCATGGGAACCATTTTGTTGGTTTCCATTGTGATCTGACTCCATACCATATGGATGATTATTGACATCAAGCTCCCTGTGGGTGGGGATTGGGTAACAACTTTGTGGTCTAGGAGGTGGGGCTGAAGATGACCGAAAATCCATTTCTTTGGAAGAACTTAGAGTGGAACCACTAGATCTGAAAAAGATTTTATTTTGTAATGATTTCTAAATCAACTTTACAATTTTCATAAATTTATTTATAGTTAATAAAAAACATCTTTTTTCTAATTCAGATCAAACAAAAATATTTGTAAATTTTCTTTGAAAAAAATCTTCTTTTAAAATAACACTCTTGCTGGAGACAACTACAGTATGTTTCATTTTAGGTTTACTGAATTTGAAAATGTAAAGAAATACAATTTATATCCTCCACATGTTTTTTAAAACTATTGGCAGTTTTTTATTCTGTAAATTTAATCAAAGTTTGTCTTTTGCTCTCCATAAAATGATAAAAGAAAGGGAAGTAAATGTGTGTTATCAAAACATTAAATAGCTTTTGAAGTTATCTCCCTTTAGTTACCATAAAATACTTATATGATACAGTTTAACATAACACAGTCTCTGTCATATATAACTAATTATTTAACGAAACTAAATATATTTTTTTTTATTGAGAATAACAAACAGGATTGTTTGCTGGTTTGTTTTGGGTTCTTTTTTTGCTGATTATTATAAACACATCATTCTTTTTTATCATATCTCAAGGGTTGATCCATCTTTAAGCCAGCTTTCCTGTATAACTAACCAGTATTTACCAAATTTTTCTACCTATCCCCCACAATATCTGAATCAGCAGTGAGAGACAAAATGCTCGTTAGATCCAATGTGCAAGGTCTATTGTCATAGACAAATCATGCCTCACACCAGAATCGAACCAGCTACCTTTGTTACATAGAAACAATTATCCTTTACCATTTACATGTACAACTCACTCAAATTTAACTGAGGGCAAAATGATATAAGTATTTGAAATCAAGTATCATTTACATAAAAAATAATCTTTCAATAAAACAACCATGTGAAAACACAAGTTTTTTTGAAAGATACTTTTCCTCATTCATTTGTGAAAGACATTCCAACTAAATTAGCATAATGCTTATAAAACAACAAACAAATCACATGCTTTTTTGGGGGGCAAACTCAGTAATAATTTCATTTTTTAAATTTATTATTTCCAAACTATATAATACAGTCATTCAAACAAAAAGAAATTATTAATCTAAATGTAATCCGCCACTGTCCGCTTAAACCAATGAGATTGTAGCTTAAACAATATCCAATTACCTGGCAGATATAGTCCTAGGGCGTCCATCACTGAGCCTGTCAATTAAATGCTGTATCCGTTGTATATGATCATTGTCTAAATTATCATTTAAAACACCTATAATCTCCTGAAATAACAAATAATACAAGGGGGCACAATATTTGACAAAATGTGTAACAGAGTTACGTAACTTGACCAAGAATACAAGATGCATGTGTAAAGATTGTAAGCAACAAAAATATAACATTTAACAATAGTCAACTATTTTGTTGATTAAAAAGTGAAAAGTAACTTGTTATTAAAAGTAATTCATTACAGTCAAACCTGTGTTAAAAACCACCTCTGAATAAACATCAACTTGCATATAAAGGCTGTATTTCAACAACCCTTGATAAAATAGAACGAAGTAACCTCTAGATAAAGGGACCACTTGTCTATAGAGGCCATATGTTCGGCCTCTCTTTTGGATGGCCTTGTTTTTCAGGTTTGACTGTATAACAATGTGAAACCAACAACACTCCGCTTTCAGGAAGATATTACAAATAAGGTACTTTTTGCTCAAAATCAATTTTTTTTCCTTCGAATTATGAATACGCACAAATTATTTTTTTTAGCTAAAAATCACTTTATCTATGAATTAGAACTACATTCTTAAATTTAAATGTGTTTTTTTCCTATAACATATTATACTGGTAAATAGAATTTGACATGAGTTGTCATTTATCACAGAGACTCCTATTTAAAGGTGATTTAAAGAAAACATTAAAGAGCAAGACCTAGTATGAGGTGAAATTTATACCCGAGGCGACTACTGGTATCGACCGTGTTAACAATCCTATTATAGTAATAAACATACAACAGAATATACCAGATTAGACTGCATGCAACGAAATGATCATATAAAAATAATGTTACCTTGGATAAGTCTAAAGCTTTAGTTTTTTGTGTGACAAGGTAATCCTTGCCGTACATGAGCTGTTTCAGGGATTGAACCTCACACTGTGATAATTGTAGCTCTTCCTTCAATCCCTCTGTACGGGATATTTCTTGCTCTGTGTGCTGTTTGAACAAAACAAAATGAACATATACATAAAAAGTGAAAGAAAATTCTAGAAGCGGAAAATCACACAAGTGCAAGGAAAACAAACAAGTAGTTGACAATTGCAGACATGGTTTTCTTTAGTCCATTAATGAGAGATAATGTTATCTTCTTTATAACATAAAAAGGTACCATATCAATTCATTGAAGGAAAAGTGATCATATTTCAGTATAACAAATTAAATAGTCTGTATTACTAAGGTGTCTGCCACTTATCACAGAGGTTGTACATCCATGCCCAAGGTTACATTCGGGTCATGGCTGACATCAATAACTGTTAAATTTTTTTTCAATATACGTGATATGAAAGTAACAAATATTAACTGTAAGAACTTGCCTTACAATTAAGCTAAATCCAGTATTTTTAAACTAATGGAGAATTATAATTCAGGATTTTTTTAATTTGTTTTTGGTAGGGTTTTACGTCAAACCAACACAGTATAGGTCATATGGTGACTTTCCAGCTTTACAGGAGGAGGAACGTATCTTAGGTGCCCTACCATGCATATTATTCCAGGCAGGAACATTTAGGTCAAATAACAAAATAATCCATTTTAGACATACCCTGAGTTTATCCTTATATTCACGTACACCTTTCCTTGCTGCAGTAAGTAAGGCATTTTTCTCCTCTATCTGCCTCTTGTGGTCTTGTATTTCCTCTTCTTTTTCCTTTATCGTATCTTTTAATCGTGGAATAGTCTCTAAATTCTGTGAAATACCATATTAATTACAGTCAAAGTAAGTTGGTATCTCCAAAACTACTGTAAGGAATGGATTGAAATTTCACACTCTGAGATCATTAAGGAGGTAACTGTCCAAGGTCCATAACTGTAACATGGAGTTTAACAGAATTATGGACCTTTTTAAACATTCTGAAAATTCTAAATAATCAAGGCTTTTATAAAGCACTAAAAATAGGTGAGCATGCTGGTCCTACCAACATCTCTTGATTTTTGCTAAGAGTTGATAATTTTTATTGTTAATTACAATGGTCACAGAAAACCAGATAATCATACAAAGAAATAAAAAAAAGTGAATAATTTAATCAAATAATGTTAAAATTTTTACCTTTTCTATATTTTCATTTTTCATGATTTCATATCTAACTTGAATCTTCATGTCCTCCATCTTGTCTTCTAGTTCTTTGATACGACTGTTTGCAGTCTAAACAAATAAACAATGACATTAAAGTTTATAATACTTGACCTACTAAATTTGTGTAACACAATTTCCCAGTTTTGAATTTCAAGCTGTCCATTTGAAATTTAAGGGATCTCAATTTAAATACACAAAAATGATCTACAAACGTTATACAGAGCCTAATATTGGTTTATACCTACCGTAATTTATATTAGTTTGATTGTGTAGGAAGCTTTATAAAGCTAATAGACACACTTTCGAATCCTGGAACCAACCAGTGAGTACTATACAATGAGTGTAAAGTTTCTTGCTCAAAAAAACAATCACTTGCCCCTGACAGGGTTTGAACCCATGCTGCTAGCGATCATTAGATAATACTAGTCTGATGTGTTAATCACTCGACCATGCCAACACATTAGAGCCTTGTTGGACTGCACAGGTGTGCTTACTCTATACTGCATAGTTTTAAAGGAACTCCACTGAGGTCCAAAAGCCTAGAAACATAAATTTTGATTTTTTTCATCGACCAAATGGGGCATTTTAAACAGAGAGATAAGCAAAAGATAATTAAGAAATATATAGAGTAATAAATTGAAAATCGGATTTGTGTTCTATTTCAGCCCGATTTGAGTGAAAAGCGTTGCAAAGCTTTTCAATTTTGGGTGATTTTTCACACCTTGAATAACTATTCTGGAAAAACCAATTGAGCAAATGGTCTGAAGTTATTGGTCTAGACTACATCAAATGGAAAATTAATCTTGAAATTTATTCCCAGTCCCATCATATGGAATGTGGATCCGAGTACCTTTAAATGTTTGTTATCTTTAAACCATTATCAAATATGTATGACATTCTGCATGTAAAGTGGAATTATATTAAATTTACATATGTACATGTTTAGATTTTAAAATGTTATGACAATCTTTTTATTTTATTTTATAGAAGTATTATGCAAACTGTTGGGACAGGCTTAGTATAATGCTCATCTTCATTATTCTGTAAAATGATATTTTAGTAATATATCTTTGTTTTGGTCAATAAAATTTTGTACAAAGCAAAGATGTATTATCACAGTGAAAAGATGTAAATGATTACCTCTAATTGTCTATTACAATCATCTATATCCTTGTTCAATCTTTTTATTTCACTGTCTCTCACCCTCACTTGTTGTCTGAAAAAAAAATATACATGTGTTAACAGGTATAATTTTAACATAATAACATAGGAATTACACATTTTGATAAAATTTAGTTTTCGGAAAATTTGTTTTAGTCAGAATTAAATATAATTATGTAATAATTCTGACAAAAAAACAAGGTTATACCACAAAATTTCATATAGAATGATCTTAATTAAGATTAAAAATCTTGCATTCATTTCAGCAAAAGGGGTAGTCTCAATATTTCTAATGCAAGACCAACGATTTTAGAAAGTGATACATATGTATAACATAGATGTCAATCTTTATGAAGGGCCACCATTGTTTATATAATAAAAATCCCCGATGCACCATGAATTTGTTGGGCTACTACAAGAGAATTGATAATCTAGCAACAAAAAATCATTTTGATGAAAGATTAAAAACAAGCACAACTTACATGGTAGATTCTAGATTTTGTTTTGTTGTTTCCAGAATTAATTCAGCTTTTTCAACTTCCGAAGCTGAAAAATTAAATATAAAATTTTTCAATACCTTACACTAATTAATAGCTTTAGCTTAAATTTATGTTTACTTGTAATCACTGAATATATAACAAAGCACACTAATATTCTGAAAATCTGAAGAAAAAAATCCATTTCAAAACAACAAAATATTAACAAGAAAATTTATACAATTTAACAAATGCAATTTATATAATTTAGCAATCTAACTCAAATTCCAACAAAAATCAAGCACATCCACCTTTTCTGGCATCCATCTTGTTTATAAATATAAAGCACAGAATAGATTCTAAAGTTTTCTCCTAAAGTCAAAATATTTTCACTAAACTTTGGATAATTTCCATAAACAATCCATTTAAGCTGTAGTAGCTAGGCTAACAATAATTGCCCATAATTAAAATAAAAAGTTGTGCGAGATAAGAGCTGTTTAACAGCAATCTGGAATGTTTGTCAACACTTGAAAATATAAATTCTTCCCACAATAAATCATTTCTAAAAGTTTTATTATTAAAAAAAAAAAGAGAGAAGATTTCACTGGTTGAAAATTTATTCACACTTCAAACACAAGGTGAAAGGATATATATTTCAGTTAAAGCTATTGAAATTATTTCATCAAATATATGAGCCGTGTCACGACAAAACCAACATAATGCGTTTGCGACCAGTATGGATCCAGACCAGCCTGCTCATCTGCGCAGTCTGATCAGGATCCATGCTGTTTGCTATCAGTTTCTCTACTTGTTATAGGGTTTGTAAGTGAACAGCATGGATCCTGATCAGACTGCGAGGATGCGCAGGCTGGTCTGGATCCATGCTGGTCGCAAACGCACAATGCTGGTTTTGTCGTGACGTGGCTCATATGTCTTTGAAACTTTAGGAGAATCACATTATCCTGTTAGTCACGGTGTAAATCCGTATTTAATTGATGTAGAATTTTAAACTAATATGTTACAGGTACAAAACAGAATATACCTTAATTAATTCATGCCCTATTCAATGTTATTTCTAAATTTGTTTACATTGATTTATTATGATACTAGGCTTATCAAGTTAATGCGGGCTGATCAGAATAATTATACAGACTTTTGCTGAAACTTCTATTTTATATATCAAAGGATTCTCAAACTTTGGCGGGCCAGTACGTGTTCCCTTGAAATAATGCACGAAGGGGCAGGCAATCCGTGGTCTTCCTCCACCAATAAAGCCAGAAATTTGTAAAATATACCTGTGCAATATGAAACCTTATAAAAAGCATTACTAGTACTCCAGAGCACTTCAATATTTTCTGATATATATTGTAACAATCAGTTATATATTTAAATGTTTTCTAATAGATAAAATTCCACATAGTTTTGTCTACTGAGTGATGTCAAGTCACCTAGACAGTTTGAAGTATTTTATGATATCATTGCCTGTGTTCAACAAACAACACACTGAGCAAAACAAACGCGTGTATTTTCAACATTTTTATGAGCAACTAGGAAAGGCATGAAACGTGGGCCGCATAGAAGTTTTGCATTTGGTAATGATATTCTGCTAAGGCAACTTTTAAAATTTTGAAAAATGTTGCATATATATAGTGAATGAAAAGGTGAACAGTCTTTAAGTGGTTTATTAAAAATTTTAAAGACGTGCCTACGAAACATTGTGTTTGACGATATGGGTCCTGGATGGAATTTACTGTTCCAAATTATAAAAGCTACGGGGTAGATCATAACAGTAAGTCAGCTGGTTCTATAGGGTTCTGGCCTGCCCAGTCCACACACCTTCTCATAATTTATGTCTGATTTAAATTTACTGTTTGATGCCGAGTTGTATTTTTTTTATATTGAAACCCCTTTAAAATTACAACGGATAGGGATAGCTCAAATTAACCCATTACTTCATGAACTTCTTGGTTGGGGGGCCGCGCCGAAAAAGTGGTCACTTTTTTTAACAACATTTCTCAAACGAAAACAAGTGTTGGGGGCCTAAATAAGGCATTTTTTCACCATTTGAGACAAAAAAAAGGGGGGGGGCTGAAAAATGGCGTTAAAAGGCGTGTATATGAAGTAATGGTTTAACAGAAAATGATGAAAAATTACTTGAAATTACCCTAAATCTGGGCGTTTTTTCCATGTTTAACATGGGCCTGTCATATAAATTTGAAGAAAAATTGTTGTTTTTAGATTTTTTTATTTTTTTTCAATTAACCCATTACTTCATGAGCATTTTTGTGAAAAATGGCTGTTTTCATTGAAAAGTCTCCCGTTACAAGTTCATGAATTGCTATAATACTATAAAAACTGCTTCAACACTAATCAAACTTGGCACAATTGTTGACTGGACCATTGCCCTTGCAACAACATGCTCAGGCTTAAATTTTCTGTTACCATGGCAACGAGGGGACATCTCAAAATTGGCCAAAAATCACTATTTTGACGTTGATTTTTTTTCCATCATAAATTGATTTCAAAGTGCTGCAACTTCTCAAATGGATTGAGATAGAGTCAAATGCTTTTCAGTGTTGGTTACAGCCGTTACCTTATGATTAATCTGAGGTCATTTATAGCCTCTCACAAGTCCAAAAATTTTTTGGCGATGAGGGGGACTCCGCCCCCCTTCAAACCCCCCAAACAGAAGGGGGCACATTCCCCTTCTGGCAACCCCCTGATGTATCTTTTGGTTGGGGGGCCGCGCCGAAAAAGTGGTCACTTTTTTTAACAACATTTCTCAAACGAAAACAAGTGTTGGGGGCCTAAATAAGGCATTTTTTCACCATTTGAGACAACAAAAAGGGGGGGGGGGGTGAAAAAGGCGTTAAAAGGCGTGTATATGAAGTAATGGGTTAAAATTGAAAATCCATTACAAAAACACATCAGGATATTAAGAGTTAACAAACATACATTAATTCAGAAGAAATCTGCCCTATGTAAAAAATACTAAATTTGATCTCTATCTCAAAAGCATAGAAGACATTAATATGAAGGGGGGAAAAAATCAATCTCTTATTATAATAGGAAATTTATGTTTTCTTTAATAATATCTGTTTACACTGGTAAGGTCTCAAAACTCTAAATGTTAAATATAAACTCTATAAATACCAGTATGCAGGTAATGTATTTCCAATTGGTTTCAATTGATATGTATAAATTATGATATTTGAGATACTTCTGATTTCTTTAGACCTCCAACTGTTTGATTGGGTGAAAGGATTAAAGATAAAATGAAGGCAAAAAAATAAATTTTTGTTCTCCATTTGAAAGGTGAATTGAAGATAATATAGATGTACTATTGGCACCCATAGTTCATAATTATTATAATCATAAAATGATAAAGCTTTCATCTCAAATAACCTGATTCACAATTATATCTTTAAAAGGTAAAAAATAATATTCAAAACCTATAAAAAATAAAAAATTTCCACTTATATAAATTACTTATTATGGCTCCCACAAAAAATTCACTTTCAGGGGCTGATAACTCAAATAGTAGGATTCATCATTGTAACCCCTTAATATTTTTTGATGACCCCGACCCCTTAATATATTTTTGGTGAGCCGTTAATATTTTTTTAAATCAATTTGTTTTAGTAATGATACTCTTTATTCATGCAAAGATTAAAAAAATTCTCTGCATTAGTTTAAAGTTTCCTTCTTTAATTGCCATTGTAAAAAATTACATTATTAAACTCCTTGAATGGTAGAGAAGCAAACATTTTCTCAAGAGAAGTCTCATTTTCATTGTGTTTTAAGTCTGGGATAGTGACTACTGTGAACCAGCTGATTTATAACTTCTCATCAAATGGTCATGAGAATGCAAGGTTTCAGTCATGATTTATATCAGCACAAAAGGGAGGTGCAAGTGATTAGAAGTTGTAGACATAAACTGCTCTGCCACTGTGAGACCACCTCAAACATATTATTACCAACATAAAATAATCACAATAGACAGCTTTGTTTTGAACATAAGTAATTTCTACACCTATTATTTGACTGAAATGTTTATTTCTGCCTATTTTTAAACTATGGCAGATAATAAATTCTAAACCTTATAATTTGATTTAATTTTTTTTTATTTCTACCTAAAACTTGGTCACTTATGGCAGGTAGAAGTACATAAGTACTCGATACAAACATTTAAATAATTATTTCTACCCTAGATAAATTTAAATATAAATATATTTATCTTATACTTCTATATCGGAGTTATTAGGCCAATTAAATAATAAATCAGAGTTATTACCAATTAAATCAATGTGAAATACTTGTTACTGATTGAAATGAGCTTGTAATTTCAGAAAAAAATATGTTATTAACCATAAAGGTTCAAATTAAATTATATATAAAAATTTGTTTTCCTGACATTGAAACATGACAGTAATCCGACCGATTATGTATTCTATGTATATGTAATCTTGAATCAAGGTCAAAGTAAATGTAGATTAAAGACAGGTTTGTGTCAATATTCAAGGTAAAAATGGCAATAATTTTGTCAAAATCAATTCTTACACTCAATCAAAGTTTATACAACCTAGATAAAAGGTAAATGGTGACCAAATATTCGCACAAATTGGTAACACTGAAATACATTCTTTAAAATTGAATATTGAAATTAATATGATTTTTTTTATCAATGAAGTATTTTTTTTTTTTTAATAAAATAAAAATTTAGGACAATGTTGAAGCATTAAAATATTCTGAATAAAATGACTAAGCTACAACTAGTATACTGGTGTAATGTATGTAATGTTAGGTTTTTATTAAAAAAATTTTTTAAAGTTTGTTTAATTTAAGTGCTATAAAATTCATATATGAATTATAGACACTTTTTGACCTGTCTGTAAATGACTGAGCAATTTCATTATAGAAGTCCTTAAATTATAATAACATTAAGGTTGACTATAAAGGTTAACAATATTGGGACCAAAATCATTAAAAGACAAATTGTCATTCAAATTCTATAAGTTAGGTTAATTCAGTTGAGGTTTATTGACATGACAGGACTGGAAATAGAGTTATGGGCCTTGAATAGTGACCTCCAATTATGATACTGGAGTATTAAGTGAATACCTTCAGCAGTGCAAAACTTAACCGAGAATTTTCTATGTTTAAAAGGGCCATAAGTCTGTCAAAATCCATACTAGAGTTATAAACCTTGGATAGTGACCTCCAGTTATGATATCAAAGACTTGTTTAAAGGCTCAAGTGAATACCCTCAGTAGTTTTGAAGACTGAAATTGCATGCAAAACTTTGACCAAGAAGGGGCCATTATTCTGTCAAAATCCATGCTAGAGTTATGGGCCTTGTACAGTGACCTTCTATTATGCTTTTAAGTAAGTGTGTGAAGTTACAAGCAAATTTCATTAGTGGTTGATGAGATATGATGCTGCATGCAAAACATTAACCAAAGTGTTACGCTGACCTCAATGCCAGTGCTGGAGTTAGGATAACCCTTCTATTCTCCAAATAATGGAAACCATTTTAAAGCTTTTAAACTCAAATTGGTCTAATATTAGATTTCAATTTAATTCTGAGTATATGTCTTTTTTATTTTAAGTGCCTGAGTTGATTATATAAGATTTTCAATTTTTATGTTTTTAGGCTTAAATCTGACCACTTTCTCTAATTTCTTTAATTTTTTTTTAATGTGAAACATTTGTACACAAACCTCTAATTTCTAATTCTTCTTTAATGATAAGCATGTGTACACAAACCTCTAATTTCTAATTCTTCTTTAATGATAAGCATGTGTACACAAACCTCGGATTTTTAAATTTTTAATTCTTCTTTAATGTTAAGCATGTGTACACAAACCTTGGATTTCTAATTCTTCTTTAATGATAAGCATGTGTACACAAACCTCTAATTTCTAATTCTTCTTTAATGTTAAGCATGTGTACACAAACCTCGGATTTCTAATTCTTCTTAAATGTTAAACAATGTGTACACAAACCTCGGATTTCTAATTCTTCTTTAATGTTAAACAATGTGTACACAAACCTCTGATTTCTAAATTTCTGATTCTATCATCTTTATAACGTATATCAGACTGCATCTTCTCTATGTGTTCTATCTTTTTCTTGTTATCAATCTGAAGTCTGTCCAGGGCCTCATTTGTCTTCATCAGGTTTTTGGTGGCATCACTCTGCCCCGCCATGAGCTCTTGTAATCGTTTTTTAAGTATCTGTAATAGATTTATTCTATATATGATTAAAAACTTGCAAAAGATAGAGTATGATGTGATAACTTTATAGAACTGCCAGTAGGAAATTGTTTGCTGGTATTAAAACAACTGGTTTATTGTTTTATCATACAATTTCAAGTTACTAATTTATCCATAAAATGTGCCAACATGACAATCTATTTGTATAACTTTATGTTGGCTACAGACATGTACATAATTATATAAATCTTAATATAGTGTAGTCAAAGATATAAAATTGAGATTAATTCTTTGACAAAAAAATAAAAAAGAACAATTTGATTACCTCCCTTCAGTCTGGACAAAAAAGAAAAACAATTCAAAATTACAACTTGTCTGAATAAACAAAACTCAGACCATATAATTGTTTATAATATTATGAAGATTTCAATTTTCATACGGAGCATTAATTTTGCAAACAACTATATACAACTTATGTAATAAGCACAAAAAATAAATAACAAACCTTTGCAAATTACCAAAATATTCCAAACATTGCAAGAAAACAAAATAATTATTTCAATTTATCAATTTTAGATGACGAAACCTACAGCGCTGAAAACAACATAACATGGAACTTGATTTTGTTCAAGTATGACACAAGGACTTTCAATGTTTGCCGTACACAAAATTATATAAAAAAAACTTTCACCGAGTTTGATATTTTAAGGGGAAAGGCAATCCATTAAGACACTTGAACATTTACAAGACTTTACATTAAAATTTGAAATAAAAGTTTTGATAAGGAGCAATAATTTATCATATAATTAGTCATATTTGAAGTATTAGATCACTTGTAACCTGCCAAACTTAACATTACACACTTAAAAGCAATGTCAGGTGCATACATATTGTGATAGCATATCCATGTGAAATCTTCCTTCACATGTTTCATGTAAGTTTAAAACATAAAGGTATGATTTTTGTTTTTATTTGTTCAATTTCGATAATAATTGATCAACACAATTAAAGATGAAAAATTATCATAAGAACAATACAAACAAAATTAATGAGGAATACAAGCAAGTAAAATATTATCTTTCTTGAACAGACACAATAAAACCCAGTTATATGTCATTTCAAATTATATTGTTTTTTTTTGTTGCCATTGCTGTTATGAGATTTCTGGGTTCCAAGATCTTGTACACATAAACAAATGATGTAAGGCAATGTCAGCCAGCAATATAACAAGAGCTTAGTAATTACAGAACGTGATGTGAAAGAAAAATTACAAAGTTTCAAAGCGGACACGACCACCACCTTCTATATTTATTTGGCATAAAAAATGACAAAGTTTGAACCCCCACAGTGACCTTGACCTTAGTCATAGAAACCCAAGTCTTGTTCGTGACACACCATAAATCTATGGTAAATTCATATGTGTAAGAAAAGTTACAATCCTTTCATGTGTACCGAAGTTTCAGAGGGGACACATAATGTTACAACCACCTTCTATATGTATTATTTATATAACATAAAAAATGACAAAGTTTGAACCACCACAGTGACCTTAACCTTAGTCGTAGGAACCCGAGTCTTGTTTTCGATACACCATACATCTATGGTTATTTCATATATGAAAGAAAAAGTAAAATCCTTTCATGCATACTGAATGTTCAGAGCGGACACGACAACCACTGTCTATATGTATAAAGCTGGACTGACTGACAGATTGACAGAAACAGACAGACAAATGGTCAGTTGGATTTTAATATGCCACCTTTTGGGGCACTGCATTCAGTGTTTAAATTCTAAGTCTGTTAAAAATTGTAAGTTAAAAGGGGCATAACTCCAAAAATATTGATTGCTGAATTATGCCTTAAGCATTTTATGTTGATAACTTTTAAATTGCTATAATAGTAACCTACATTAATGTATTTACACAATGACAATGCACATGCAGTGATCATAAAAGCTCAACTTTTTCTCCAAAACAGTCCAGATAAATATGCATGAGCACTGAAAAACTGATGAACATTACAAATGAAGGAACAAATAAGCTTTACAAGCTTAAATACATCTCCTAAAGATATGAAAATCTGATTGATGAGATGAATGTAAGGTCATATATCGTTGTCAACTCAACAGGATAGCGTGCATAACTCTCAATGCTTGATAGTAAAATAATGTAGAATTGTCTAAGATCAAAAAGGGTCATAATTCTGTCAAAATCAATTTTAGAGCTTTGGAGACCTCCTATCATGCTCTCAAATAAGTTTGAGAAGTTTTAACCCATTACTTTCAGTAGTTTTGGAGTTGATACCAACTTGCACAAAAATAGACTCTGACGCCTGGATGACTGTCATGGCCCAGCTCAAATATTGCCTAACTCAAGAATAGAACTTGCATTATCCCTGAACTTGCTTTATTGAGCTATAATTTTGTGTGTGGATGATCATTAACATGAAAATTTCACAAGATGATAGTTATGATTTATCAATCTTAGGGTCGTTTATAATGAAAAAAATCACTTCCTGATTGACATCTTAAATTTATCTTCTTATCTTAATCAGCAATGTATTACGTATCTGTAATAAATTATAGCATAAAAAATATATATTGATACCTTTATAGCTCATTATTTGAAATTAATTTCAGCCAAATGAAATTGACCAATGACCTTAACATTATTCAATAAAACACCATCATATCTCAGATAATTCTAATTAATCAAATTTCTGGCAGACATTTTCAAAAATAAAACTATAAATATTTTTACCTCATTCTCTCTTTTTTCATTTTCGTATTTTTCTTTAAACTCCTCAAGTTCTGTGATCTTAGTCTTTAATTCTTGTTTCTCTCTTTCCCTGAAAATACAAGAAATAAAATAAAGCCATCGATAATAAAATCTTCATTTTACGCCAGTTAACTCTTACCACACAACATTGTAATTATCTCAAATGGATTCGTCCACCTTCCAGTCTGGACTAAACCATTTATCCCCTATTTAAGGGAAAATTTCAAAGCATATGTACTGATTGAATAGCAAACAATGCTGCTAAAAATGATATCATCATCTAAAAAAAACAACTCTTTGTTCTAAGATGTCTGACTAATTACTTGACTTTTATTATTAAATGATACTCAAATGATATTCATTTTGTTTTTCATTATTATTAATTATTTTTCTTATTAAAAATATTTCAAATATTTAGTACTGTATGTGTTAATAATGTAAACCAAACCCTTATAAATATCATATAGCCTAAAAAATACATGATAATGCTTCTTAATCATGTGCAATTTTTAGTGCTTTGGATTTGGATACTGTTAGTTTAAAGGAATTCTTAACTGCAGTCAAAAAGCCAAAAAACATAAAACATAATTTCTTAAACAACTTTCTTTGCAACACTTTTCAGTTTTGGGTCATACTTAACAATTTTAATAATCATTCTTGAAAAAAAAGGTGAGTGAGCAAATGATTTGAAATTTTGCACAAAGGTTAATTTGGTCTAGACCTACATCTAATGGAACATACTCCAGAAATTATTTCCAGTTCCGTCATGACAAAAAACCACAGCCCTGTCCTTTTATTTTATTTCAAAACTAAAACACTAATATATAAATGTGTTATTTGTTGCATTATCACTGTTGACCATTATTGTACCTCTTGAGGGAAAAGCCCGCTTTGGGGCTGGCTTTATAATGCTGATGACATTAATAATACTATCACTTTGTACTACAATTGTTATAATTGCCCTCATGAACTCAAACATTCAACATTCTTAAAATACAATTATGTACCAGTACCACAAAACTATATTGTTCTTTATTATCAATATAACAATCTTTACTTATACTTAAGATGTTCAGAACACTTGATTTTAAGTCAAAATATACTAACTTAACAAAACAATAAGCATATAATACCGTCAAATAAGGAATAATGTGAAATGATCTTGCACAGAATTATGATGTTTGATCACCAAATTAAACATACCTTGGTAATGTACTTTTAACATTTCTGAATGTCAGTTTCAACCAATTATTATAGTTCACAATTTACTGTTGAAATTTTGTACAAAAGGTGTATGAAATTCATATTTTTCATAAATGATAATTTAACACACTAATATCTGCATAAAATCAATTACAACCTACATAACAAGATGATTATATATATATAGTATTACGAGATGGTTATAATAAGCATATAATACTGTTATAATACTACAGGCTTTGGAATCCTTGGCTTAAATCCCACTTGGAGCCTGCAATTTAGTTTAAACAGCAATGATTTGATCATGATAATTTCATTTCAATGCAGGTTTAGAGTTTTTATTACCAGTAAATTAAACATTGCACATTTTAACATGGTCAGTGCTTTCTTACCAATGCTCCTGCTCTGCTTCAAAACTTTCTCTACATTTATTCATAGCTTTATCAATAGAGCTTGAAGATCCGAGTCTTTTCATGGATCGCTGAGTCAGAGAGCCTGGTTTCTCTCCAGATATATTCAAAGCTGTAAAAACTCTCTTCCATTTGTCGGAACTCATGTTTATACTTCCTTCGAGTTAATTTGAATATTTTTAAAACTGATTTAAATCAGCAAATGCATAGAATAAGTTCTTATAATGTTGATCGCATAATAAATTCAAAACAAAATTTAGGTACAGATATTTCTAATATAACCAACGGATGTCACAGTATTTTACAGGTTGCACCTTGATAACTTATAAATTCATAAAATCCGAAATGTTTTTTGAGTTTTAGTCAGCTTCATGATTTGTTTAACTATATAAGAATGATTCTTCAGTAACCCAACAACTACCATCATTTGAAACACTCAGTCTCGAAATATTCATCTGTAGTCAATATCCATAACACAAACAGTATGTGGTCACTTGACACTAAAAGTTACAATTGAAATTTAGGCATCCATTGAAAAAATCAAAACATTATCAATTATAACTTGAAAACACTGATGTTCTATGAGCATTAAGCAATTGTAACAACTCCAAACACCAATAGACTCCAAAACTTTATGTAAGAAAAAATGACTAAGTCATAAACGTTCATTAATTAAGATAGAGCAAATTTATCATTTGATTAATCCCAGGCTAAAAAGAGTAATGGACAATACAAGAACTAAAAGCTCCAGATAATATCCCAATCATATAAGATTGTAAAATCCACAATGAAAAATGTTTCTATTCTATAGATGAGAAAAATATCACACAATTAAGCTTACACACTGGAAGCTTCAACAATAGCCATGAAGCCTCCTTAAAGAAGATAATAGCATTGATGTTGCTTGTAAAATCATTACAGATTTTATGCCAATTCATGTATTATTTCTCATCCTTTCCTCAGAATGTTGTCATTTATTCCTTAAAATAATACACCTAAAAATTCCATTCACGAAATCATAAGTCTGAAAAATAGAATAATTGTCCTGAATTCTATAGTCTTGAATTTTCAAATCATGCAATTTAAGACATTTTAGCTTTTAAGTTTCATATAACAATTCATTTCATTTTTTTTCTCGCTTAATGTGCACATATAATAGCTTTTTCATAATCTATTGAAAATCAAAACAGAGAAGCCTTCATCAATAACAAGAATCAATTTTCTTCTGAAAATTTAATAATATACTATGAATTATTTGTGCAAATTGTTCACTTCACAAATTGATTGTGTTACCCTTCATAGACAGACAAAGTAGGTTTAAAAAATGCTGGAAAAATATCAAATTTTTTTTTCAATGTAACAATATTTTATGATTGTATAATATTTGCACATCAATTAATAAATCCTTTCAATAAATAGCACTTGATATCAGTTTATTCTGTCCGATTGTCAAAATCTCGATTCATATTCTATTTTATTCAAGATTTAGGATCAAGGAAACCGTCACAAATTATTTTTAGTGAAGATATTCATCAACCAGTATCATTGACTTTGTATTTGTTCTACAAAATGATATACCATTACTATTATAATTTATTCATTAATTAAACTTGTTTTTGCAATGAGTTTGGTAACACAATTTTTGGTCATAATATAGTTCCGCAGTCAGTCAACCGTAATTTACCGACTTTCCTGGATATAAAACTTAAACCAGTTAAATTACCAATTTTTCCACAGTGTTCAATATCCTCAATCCCTTTGATAGAATGTTAGAGAAAAATTGTCACAGAGAAATTTCGCCATGCCCAAGGATCAAACCTGCAGGGGCCCATGGATTACAAATAATTGATGATCTCTGCAGGCAAGTATTATGGCATCATGTAACATTTAATGACTAATAAAAATTAAAAGTAAAAGTATATAATGTTAATTCAATATCATATTTATTTAATTTACTTAACAATTCTAAAGATCAAAACATTAATTTTTCATATCTGAATATATATTTCATTAGGTTGACGAAAAATGAACAATTTTGTTGTTTCATTTTTTGTTTGTTTACTATTTCCACAAACCTTAACCACAGATACCCAATTGATTTTATAAATCCATTAAATGCATTGACTTTAACTTATCTTTTCTGACACCCTTCAACTGAAATATGTTCTTATATTTTAGCTCATCCTAAACCCATGAAACAAATCCACACATTAAACTCTCTTTGATATCATTATTATTTATGCTGTGTGATATCAGAGGCCGTCTGATATATCATAAGATGTATAGTTATTAATATCATATGCTTTCAGATATCAATTGCTGAATGAATTCACTAAAGCTGTAAGATATCAAAGACTGTCTGATATCATTTTAGCACACCATCACACTGGCTTTCAGATATCATTTGTTGAATGAAATCACTAAAGCAGTAAGATATCATTGACAGTGTCTGATATCTTATGATGCATGATATATCATGAGCTGTCTAATATCATGAAACACAATATCATATACTGTCTAATATCATATAACACAATATCATAGACTGTATCATATAACACAATATTATAAGCTGTCTTATATCATGTAACATAATAATATAGGCTGTCTAATATCATGTAAAAATAATATCATAAGTTGTCTGATATCATATATTACAATAACATAGACTGTCTGATATCATATAACACAATATCATAGACTGTCTGATATCATATAACACAATATCATAGACTGTCTGATATCATATAACACAATATCATAGACTGTCTGATATCATATAACACAATACCATAGACTGTCTGATATCATATAACACAATATCATAGACTGTATGACATCATATGATGTGATAGCAAAGCTTGTCTAATTTAATAATTCTCACAATAGGAGCATTAATATCAATATATTTATATCTAACATTTTCATTTACCCCATCAATAAACAAACTTAATATTTCAATTAAATCAATTAATAATTTAAACAAAATTTAATATTTTTTAAAGTAGAGAGATTTCTACAACTCAAACATATTTTCAGTTTTTATAAATTTGATTTTATTAATGACACTAAATTAAGAAATAAATCCAGTCTTTAAGATGTCCTCACAAATTAACAATATACATGTTATAAGCAATCCAGAATTCAATTTAAGTCACTGTGTGCTCTATATTTTATTTTCAAACCGACAAACGGAAAATTTCCTTTTGTTGTGTATATAATGCAAAATCACTTTTAAAAACATATATAAAATTTCAAAAACCCTAAAAGCTAAAATCTTTAATTTAAATCCGATATTCAACACATTTCCACTAATGAAATTTAACCAGATATTTCAAGGTGAAATTGATATAATTTATTTAAAATTTGTTGGGGGATTATTTTACAGTCAATAAAACACCATGGTCTAATTTACAGATACTGGATACTCTTTGATAATTGAAACAGATAATAATAGAAACTTTCAAATATTATTTCAGACTACATTTTAGATTTGACATTGATGGTAAAGTAAATTAATTCCCAATAATAATACAGTAGGCCTACAAGTAATAAAAGTTTGAAATGTAACGGTCAGATTTCCCGAATGATGATAAAGAGTGAATTATATATGATCTGATAAAAAGACACTGAAATTGATTTTGACAGCATATACTTTACAATGTTACACACAGGTGATTGGCACCTTAATTGGTCACTTAGCCCCTACCCCCTCTGACAATAATAATATTATTTAAAATAAAAAACAAAATTGGTAAAAGAATAATAAGATACATATAGATCTATTTTTAGTAAATTACATATATATATTTTTCTTCTTTTTAAATATTAATATTAGATGAGTTTGCATGGGGAAGTGACCGATCAATGCACCAAACAACACACCATAATGCTAAAATGTTATGCACCAGCAATATTTGGAAATTAAACACCACTTCAATTATGAATAATTAATTTCTCCAGTTTTGAATTCTGACAAATGTTAATTCAGTGTATTTTAAAGGAACTCACTGACGATCAAAAGCCTAAAACATGAAATTTGAATTTCTGATATAGATCAGCTGGAGCTGCGACATACATTAAGTAGCAATATATTAAGTTCATGTAAGCCCAAAGATTATCCTTGGTAAGTATAATAGAAAAAGCATAAAAACATAAAGCAGCATAAGGCAGCATATCTGATTTGTAGGTCAATATTAATCAGATTGCGAAGTCACTCAATTTTGATGTTCTATCTCTTTTGTATCATAGACAAAAATTAAAAAAACCTTCCCTGTAACAATGTCACAATATGAAAGCCCAGAAAAAAGTAACCAATGAACATTTAAGTATCGGAATATTATGGTGGCTGATTTGATACATAATGCGCGTTGCATTGTCGATAGCCTACATTATTATCACCTTTTCGTCTTGTTGCTAGCGACAACACGACAAAGTGCCAAACTAGGCGTTGTCGCACTGTTGTCTTGTCGTTCTGTCTCTAGGGAAACACGCCAAATGGCGCGTTGTCGAATATTGCCATGTCGCTTTGCTTTTAAGCCAATCCTTCCATTTGAAACAAGCGACAATGTGACATCGCAACAACAGGCCGCACTACAACGCGCTGTTTGGCGTACATTGTTAGCGACAGGACGACAAGACGAAAGTCCCACAACACACCGTTTGGCCCTTTGTCCTGTTATCACTAGTGCTAATATGATGCACAAAAGCGTTCACATTATGTATAAGCCCAGAAAAATTAAGCCAATCAATAGCATGCTTATGAAGGAGTGTGCCGTATTACCTGCAATCCAGTTAATGCACTGTGCATTGTATGTGTGTATACAATTTAACTCTGACACATTTTCAACAGAAAGGTCTCCAAACTCATAGTGTTACAATTGGACAACCACACTTTACAGCTATAATTCAAGGCACTAATTTATAGGCGAATCTTAGCAGTCTATAAATCTGCTAATTTAAATTTTGAGTTTTTTTCTTAACACATAGTACTTCTAAGACATTAATGGTATAACACTTCTTCTTCTTTTTCTTGACATCAATAAAACCAAACCCAATTGAGAACTTCAGACTATAAGGGAATCTTACCATCTAGCACCATGTAAATCCAAGCCCATGGATATAGCTACCGACTGCCTTCTCGGGTGAGAGTGATAGACACCAGGAGATGGTGAAGATGATCTTACATTGTGTACGAGTGGAGATAGATGATCTCGGCTGGGCAGATCATTTGTCTCATGGGTACCAGGCAAAGGTGAGGAGGTTGAGCCCCTTCTCTGGTCCACAGAATTCAGCGGAGGAGACAGAGTTGCCTCGACCTCCATTATGCTTATATCTCAATAACTTATTCAAAAAAATTCAGAAGTAAATGAGGAAATACAACATATAAACACTGGTTCAGTTTTTTAACATAGTTTATCAACTACAGCTCTTGATATTTCAATGAACCATCATCAACTTGATTGAACATCTA